AGATAGATAGATAGATAGATAGATAGATAGATAGATAGATAGATAGATAGATAGATAGATAGATAGATAGATAGATAGATAGATAGATAGATAGACATTAGCTGCATTCTGTGAAGCTCTTGAGACATTTTAATGCATCATAAGAGCAGAACTTTAGCTTTTGTATTTTTAAAAGTGATGACAGTAAGGCTAAACATCCTCACAGCAAGAGCCTACCATCAACAGTTAACTACTCATTACTATGACAATATGGTGCAAACAGGCACAGAAGCTGACGAGCTCTGAACATGCTATCTTGAGGCAGTGTGTCACTGAGGATTTTCGACCACTCGGTGCACTGAAAGTTACCCTGTCTCCTTTCCCTTATTTAAAATGAAAAAAAGTACTTTTGCTGTGTTATAGATTCCATAAAGACGAAACTACATTTCTGGGATTGACACCCAGCAGCCCTGCAGTAAGTGACTGTGCCATTATCCTCGTGATTCGTCTGAACAGGTTGTTACAGTGTAGTTTTAAGTGCATACAGGGTGGGTTAAATGTGCTGTGTGCTTGGCCTGGCTCCTGCTGTCAATCAGCAGCAATTGGTTATTCTTGTGGTAAGAAATCATTTCATCCAGGCTGTTGAAAGTCTAAGAGAAAGCAGAAGATAAAGAGAGAAGTGTGATTAAATTATGCCCGGAATTCTTCATAAGCTTCAGTAACTCCTGAATTTTTCAATCCTGCTTTGTCTTTTCACCTCTTCGTTCTTTTTGCCTTCCTTTCCAAGGGCATAGGCTTTAGTTTCCACCAGGAAGCGAATGGGAACGTTGTACACCTTCTGCTGGTAAAGCACGGCAAGGGTGTAGGGCTGGTGCGTGCTCTGGGCAGAGCTGTATCGGATGAGAAAGGCACCGTCCTGCAATAAGGAGAAAGGGAGGAGAAGAGGAAAATCTAATAAATAAAACTAGATGTAAAAGAACATCTTAGGAAACCTTGACAGATATGAAAGAATAGTCAAGCTGGCTACAACTAAAACTGATAAATGGATGAATCGTGGAATGAATTGGGGGAATGTAAAAAGGCTCTACATGCATCAGGGAGAGTAAGTGGAGGAAATGGAAAATAAATCACTGCCATGGAGCCCTGAAGCTGTCTGACTTAGGTTTAGCTTTTGTTTGAGTTTTATGTTTGAGTGTCAGCGAGACATACCATCATTACCTTTTTATATCACTTTAAAACTACCAGGTTTACCTTGTTGATTCTCTGTAAGAGATCCTCTGCTGTCTTTCTGTTGCAGTCACCAGCAAACCATTCTCTATCCTGAAATATAAACATACAGCAGATATATCAATAAGAGAATCAAACCCACTTCAATGCAGGATTGTTTATATAGTGTAATCACAACAACGGTCTCATGAAGACACTTCAATACTGTAAGGTAAAGAACTCAAAGTATTCAAGGAGGGGCAGCCAATCAGCTGGGGGGTGAGGGGAAAGACACAAAAAGAAAGCGAGCATAGGGAGACAGAACAATGTGAAGTATAAGTGCATTTACTGACCTACTCTACACGAGGAGGAATTTGAACTATACTATTTACTAAATCATTACATTTTGTAGTAAATATTCTACTACATGAATGTGAAGTTTACCAGTCATTTCTCAAATTAAGATTTTCTGTCTTTTGCATCCCTAATTTAAGCAAATAAATTAATAAATAAATGCTAGGAGTGAAAATGTTTCTCATGCATCTCAAACATCCATCCATCCATCCATTCGCTTCCGCTTATCCTTTTCAGGGTCGCGGGGGGCGCTGGAGCCTATCCCAGCTGTCATAGGGCGAGAGG